AGAAGCAGAGGTCGGTTTCGAACAACGAACCTTCCGGCCAGTAAATTCGCGCTCTAACCACTCAGCCACCTCGCCCTGTAATTAGCAAGCAAATGCCCTATTGATCTGTGTACCAGTTACAGAGGACTTCCCATTCAACACATTCCTTAGGTAGCCTCTCTTTGCAGCTTGCCATGCCCCCTGTAATTAACCAGCAAATGCCCTATTGATCTGTGTACCAGTTACAGAGGTCTTCCCATTCAACACATTCCTTAGGTAGCCTCTCTTTGCAGCCCTATTGCCATGCCCATCATCAGTTATCCTGAATCATTGCTGGTATCAAGTGCCGAGGCACAATCAACGAACCAGTGAACAGCTGTCTTGTCCATACGGGGACTCATCAAACAATGTGTGGGCTAGGGCTCGATCAGTCAAATGAGGCATCCCTCTTTCGGTCAAGATTGAAAACAACATTTGGTACGTCAGCACTAGAGCAATCATGTCATCATTACCTGTTGAAATCAAACTTCAAATGAAGGCACCGTACATCCTTCCACTAAAGAACCTCCATCTAAGCAACACCACCTAGAAGAAAGAAGCAGGTTTGACTGTTCCCAGTTGCTTTCATTGTGAAAACAATGCCCCCTCTGTACAAGGAAGTCCCCTCCCTTAGAGGTGCTTTCAACGGAGCAACCTTGCGATTCAGTTTTCGTTTGCATTCTGAATCATACACGCTACTGGTGAAAGTTAGAAGGCCTTCGCTGCGGAGTTATTTATTAGAGAACGCCAACTGACCAGTTGCAGACTATTGGACAGGGAAGCAAGACTCTCATTTGCGTCTTATTTACAAAAACTGAACATCCATATTCTCCTGAACGCGTCTTCTAGAGTTTTCCTGGATATTCATTCACTCCAATCATTAATTGCTCGAATCCAAACAAATTTTACAAAGCGACTCCACAAATTCCGCAACAGATATCCCTTTTCAAGAGACCCAAAGCGAATTTACAAGAACAAACATACTACTCGCATGCCTACCCATCAGTAGTATCAATACTACACTGGTATCCTCCGGTAACCTAGCACGGAATGTTTTACGGCGTATCACCCAGGTATGAAGTGAAAATGGCCGTTCTGTTGAGCTTTTCATATCCCTATTCTTATTCTTGCTTCGTCTTTGACTGAACCTTAATCAGACTCTAATTCAGTGTAGGTGACCCATGGTGACCGTTCAACCGTTTCTACCACCTTTCGTCATGTTTGTGGCTCACACAAAATACACCTTTCTACGACCAACTGCGGCCACATTGAACCGGATCCTTTATCCTTTCGAGCTCTGCAAACAAAATGATTCGTCGAGAAGAGAGGATCCGAAGTACCTCTGTATGAATAATGGTAGTTGAATTGGTTAAAATGTATGGAAAAACCAGTGAAAGATGTAGCTAGTGCCCTTGGATTTCCCAGGCGACATCTCTTTGATGAGTACAGTTCAGCGTGCTGAATTTATGATAGCAGGGCTGTTCTACGGTTGTCGTACTAATTTCGTAACACTCATGTCCAATGCTTTGACAACACTGTATTTGCCAGACACTCTGTTCCAGTTCGACATCGGTGCGTTTTCACGCATTCTCGTGGTGCATTTGAAGGATCGCCTTCCGGTTGATAGGGTTGAATATTGTGTACATCCAGTAAAATGTAGCGACTGCATGAAGGTTTACGTAGGTTGAACAGTCATATATATATATATATATATATATATATATATATATATATATATATATATATATATATGAATATCAGGTGGTAGTCAAGGACTGGACAATGGCAAGACGTACACTGCTCACGGAAAATGTTGAAATTTCGAGATGAAGACTTAGACTCGCACCTCAGCGTCCGGTGTCTTAGGTAGTGAAGACCATCAAGCATCTCAGCATAGAGGGCATAGAACTGGCAAGCGTGTGGGCAGTCGAGGTGACACAAGACTGTGAGTGGTTATCCCTGAGATAGTCTGGGTCTAAATGTTGAAGAGCCAAGCCTAAGAAGATCCAATTGATCGACCCCCACCCCAGCACCACTCCAGTTGCCCTGGCATCCCTTAACGCACGCAGACCAACAAAATCTGTGAACAACACGCAAGAGGGATGTTCGATTAAGGTATCCTAGACCAAGTCCGGACTCTACTCGAAGACAATCCTCTCAACCGAACTATTGTAAATGTTAGCCGTCGACACTAACTAACAGCAGGAACTTCAGGCTTGCACCAAGCGCTGATCAAGTCGGTTAGTCGTGAGAAATCTCGCCGATTGTTTCTCTGACTGGTACATTATTCACTTGGCCTGACGAAGCTTCTGTGTCAAAAGCGAAACGTTGCTCAGTAATAAATCTACCGATTGTTTACCAAACCTTGCTGAAACAATGACCACTTAATCGGCCCTAAACATCTTCTACTTAATTAAAAAGCACTCCCACCACTCTCTGGTCCATGTAAGTACTATGACTGTTACCGAATATAATGCGGTTGTAACGTTGTCCAGATATCAACCGTTCGTAATTCCCCCAAAAAGCGGACATTTCCGTCTGATTACGTGGGGAACCGATAAGCGTTTTATCTGAGCAAGCATGATTTGGTACTGGGCACTGGAACGTACTGGCTACCCCTATAGAAGGGACACCTCGCACTTTGATTCTCCAGCTAGGTTTCGCTGTGTTTGCTAGTCCAACCTATCCTTATCCCGGTACACTCATCTGGTGAGCCTCAGTAAGGTTTCTACTTACCAGCGTCCATATCTACTCAGATAATACATTGACCATTCACCGGTGATCAGATTGTGTGAAGTTAGTCGAAGTTTCGCACCCAATCCATCTTCGACTGTTTGCCAAGCACACTGAAATCACTCCTACCACAAAATTGAACGTTTGTCTTCCAGTTAGGGAAACTGCTGATCCTTATGGTGGTTCACATAACTGTAATACTGAATCAGCTACCCACAATGGTTTACCCTTACCTTTCTGTTGCCTTACACGTCGACTGAGAGCAGTTCTCCGAGTGCTACTCAGCTGTTTCAAGTTCCCTTGTACCTCACCTCTCCCAAACACTTCCTCTCTCTTTCTGTTTCGTCAAACCTAGGTTCTCAACCTGGCCGCCAAGCTATGCATTGTGAACCCACGTCAAACCCACTTGCTTGCCCAGTATGTGTTCAACCTGGCACGGTACGATCAAAATTATGACATACGTGATCGATCACGCCTCCTGAGAGCTTTGTTGTTTCCTCAGTCTCTCATCGAGGTAGGTATGAGACAAAATTCCTAATCTTTATTGCACTTTTGTTCCCCATACTGGCGTGCACCACCATCTCCCATCCTTTCAAGATAAAAATTATTATTGCTGAAAACCGGCTGTCCTTAGGATTCATCAGGTTGGCGCAATCCGCGAGTTTCCGTCAACCTTATGTTCTACTTGAACCCAAATTGGACTGCTTTCGAGAAATACACTAATTTGCAAATCAATTTGGTTTCACGAGAGACTGAATGTGCTGCACACAGGCCGTCATTGTTTCAGTTGGCACGCTATTCGAGATATCGCAGTATATTTTCATAAAGGACACTACTCACAAGGTTGCTAAAAACTCTTCGACAGCCCACGACCAAATTGATTTGCAAATGAGTGTATTTCTCGAAAACATTCTAATTTGGGTTCAAATAGAACATGAGGTTGACGGAAACTCGCGGACTGCGCCTACCTGATGAACCCTAAGAGGGGCGAAACCGATCGAAGAGTTTTCAGCAGCTTTGTGCGTAGTTTCCTTTATGAAAATCTACTATGATATCTTGAATGTTGTACCAACTGAATCATGACGCTGGCTTTTGTGCAGCAGCAGGTGAAGAATATCATAAACAGGAGATTTAATTGAGCCTCCCGTGGAAACCGAATTGATTAGCGAATAAGTGTATTTGTCGAAAAGTTATTATTGTCAAGATTTAACACCCTTTCGATGCAATGCCACCCGAAAGGAAGCACCTGGGTTAAGATACTGCCAGATTTCCCATGCCTAAACAGAAGCATTCGATATGCAGAGGTTGAGTTCAAACCGCGGACCTTCCGGTCAGGAAGTTCACCGTTTAGCCACTGAGCTACCTCAAGCTCTCATCCTTTCAGCCTGTTTTCCCGTGTTAATATCACTATTTTCAAGAATATTGTAATGGACATGTCAGCATTTTCTGACGAATCTCTAGAAGTATGCACACTCTAACACATTCCAGCCGTAGCTTTCTTTGAGTGTACGAAATTTACCGCGTTACCTGTTCTTTGAGGCTTATCGCTGGAACCGTGGGTCTGTGTAGCGCCAGGAGACCCAATCAACCCATTCAAGGAGCAGTTTCACTCAGACTCATATTTTCCAGCTATATGTTATCGTGCGACTCATATGTTTGTCCACACTCCGGTTGTGAATCAACAGGTTGCCGGTGGCGATTCTTCCAACAAGTTAGTCGACCTGGGCAATGGTGAAGCGAGCCCGGTAAAAGAGCCGGTACTGGGCTATCTGGCCAAACATGCACGCAAGATCTGTCTAGCTGCCAAGCCAGCCCCACTGATACAGTCCAGCTTCCAGGGTGAGTAATATCGACCACGTACTTTATTCTGAATGCAGTTTCGTGTTTGCGTGAACTTACTGAATAAGTTTGTCTGATAAGACTGGGTTTTTTATTTTAACATGATTGTGTTTCATCTCAGTCAGTCCCCCTGACGGCCCACTCTTCGACAGGGGACGAGATGGCCCAAACTGGTTAGAGCGCGAATTTACTGACCGGAAGGTCCGTGGTTCGAATCCGACCTCCGCCTCTCGACTTCCTTTGTCTGGGCTTGGGCAACCCGGTAGTAGTATCGCAACCCTCGTGCCTCATTCGGGTGGCATGGCAGCTAGGCACCGGAAGGATGCTACAGCTGAACGCCACTCTTCGACAGACACTATCCCGAAATGAAGCCACTTAACTCGGTCCGGATTTTAATGGATACTCATGGCCCTGCTTTAAACAGGGTCCACCCATCAGTACGAAATTCTTTCCTTATATGGAAATAAGGATGCAACGTTTGTGCGCCGAACCTTCTGGAATCCCAACACCAAAACAGTATCTGATTGACTGGATAATTTTCAGAATATTCCCAAGGCATGGTTTCCTCACCGGTGTGGCACACCACGATGTCCGTGCTCTGTACAGGTCGCTCTCTATAACAGATTAGGTTCGGCTGGTCTTAGTGAGTCGTGAATATTGTGCCATATTTTCGCTCACAGGGGACCAATTGAGAATACTGAAAAGGCGAGAAGTGTTCGTTTCAGATGGTTATCCTTTCAAAAGAAACAAACTAACTTGTCAGCCATGCCTCACCAAATGCCATAGTGTTCCAGGAGGGGAGGATGGATACCTCAGCACCGTGTAAAAAATCGTAGCCACCTTTCGGTGCCTAGCTGTCATTCCACCCGAAGGAAGCACTAGGTCTGGAATACTACCAGGTTGCCCAAGCCTAGACAGAGGAAGTCGAGTTCGAACCACGGACCTTACGGTCAGTAACTTCGCACTCTAACCACTTGGGCCATCTCGCCGGTAGCACCTTTTGCCATCCATACAAGCACTTAAGTGTTTCAGGTAGACTGTCTTCGGCTTTTATACCGAGCGACTTTTGAGGAGATCTGAGTCAGCATGTTCTCAAGGCCGCTTTATCTTGTTAATTAATCAAATCCTAATAGCCAGACACACACTTGCCCTTTCGAAAGCAAAAACCCTTTTAGAACACAACAACTTACCTCTAGGCACTTCGGTGTGCCGACTGAAACTGATGAGCGACTACTTTGTGCCAGGTAAAAGAAATCAACAGAAGTACTTTTATGTACCACCCCGGAACAGAGAGAAACACCAAACCAGATCTATTCTCGGGATGTGTTATTTCTCATGAGACTCGTCCCAATGGGACAACTTGCACATGGCCTTAGGAATCTCTGCTGCATTGTTGAGGTAGTTTGGCTGGAAGTTCGTTTCTTGTGTACAAACTGTTTGTTCCTTTCCGCCCTTAAGAGCTGCACTGTTCTGTGGAACTGGAATATTCCAACGTAAATAGGTTTTCTTGAGGGAACCTACCACTCTTGGGTTTTCGGGCAACTCTTAGATAGCCCGTTTTACGTTTTACTCTTTTTGGAACTCATCAGGTAGCCGCGGTCCCTGAGTTTTTATCAGGCTTGTGTTCTACTTTAATATTAACTTGCACTCATTTGCAAATAAAGTTGATGTTAGCAGGAGAAGCTCCTGTTTATGGTATTCCCCAACTGAATCTATTACGTGCCTCATGTTGCATTTGGTACGCTATTCGATACATCACAATACAGTTGCTCGTTCATCCAAGGACCTTGGCTTCGATGTCTTGAATATCGTACCAGGTGAAACATCAGACTAGTTGAAGACTCTCGTAGACAAGATTAGCTCAATCCCCAGGTAAAAGCAACTCAGTTTGTAGATGAGTACTTCGCCAATAAACTGTGTATTCAGTCTTTCCATGCATCTTTCCTTTTTCTGCGAACCAGATCGATCGAACTTCCGCCTCGGTTCCTTATCTCATCTGCTCAATCGTCACCAGTGGCATTACCGTGACCTCCCCGATTGGCCAGCGATCCCACCAGATCCGTGGTCCAGGGTAGTAAAGACTACTCCAGATGGAACATCTACAGTAAATTCTGAATCGCATTCACCAGCTTCCGCAATCCGTACAAGCGCATCAGGGGGCAAGCCGGGCAACCTCGTCTCCTATGATGACTTCTTTTCGGAATCAGATGGTTCGACGACCGAGGATGATGCTGATGGTGTGGCAGATGACCTCGTGGAAGAAAAAATCAAGGAGAACAAAGATCTGCTGGTATGCTGGATTAATTTCGTCAACCCCACGTTTTTTTTCACACGTTCATTTAATTGTGTAATCATACACGCACTGGTAGGCTTGTTGCCTATCGTGAAAGAATTGAACCCATCTGTCATATTGGCCGCATTCGGAGTGCAGTTCCATAATACTGTCAATCTCTAGTAGTTATTCTTACTTGTAAGCAATGTTATGACACTCATAAGGTTGAGACAGCTAAAGGGTCGGCGTCCTCGTTTACTTTTCGGTATAGCTTCCCATATATAGATTGTTGTCAAATGACAGGGCTGTGCAAGTAATTGTGCCTGATGTCGACCCATGCAGACATTAGGTAAGCGGAGTGACACGTCTATGGGTCTTCGGACTTGGAAGCATAAATATTACAGCCCTGGATTAGAACTCAATCATTATACAAAACCTTCGTCCGGTGATCTCGCTACACAAAATCAAAGTGCTGCACTAACTATCGGCCTAGGATACGTACATGTCTCTTCTACGCGGTTTTTTCTACATTTCGGTCCGTCCCCCTCGAAGAATTGCCTTTTTTAGAACAATGGCAGATTAGCCCTCCAAGAAGAAACAGCATAACCTTTTACCGTGAAGTACGATTTTGCAAGCCGGCTATCGCGTATTACTGACGAGATTTTTTTTACCAGCTTTGCCGACAAGTTAGTTTAGGATGCTGCATTGGAACATCTCACGTTTGCGACACAGTTTGAATGATGCAACTGAAACTTCATCGTTCCTGATGAAAAAGCACGTGATGTGGTTCCTTACTAATTGGGGCAAGATGTCCCAAGTGGTTAGAGCGCGAATTTACTGACCGGGAGGTCCGTGTTTCGAACCACTCTGCCTCTCGACTTCCCCTGTCTAGGCTTGGGCAACGTGGCAGTACTGCAGTCCTCGTGCAACCTTCGGGTGGCATGGCAGCTAGGCACCGGAAGGGTGTTACAGCTGAACGTTTTTTCCTATTAATCACTCCTTCGAAGAGAAAGCACCTTCATCTTAGAGAAGTTTCGCCATCTTCATAAGGATTTCCTCAACGGATCGAGTATATATAGTCAAACCGTGGAGTTTTTCGTATCACCGTTACTGTGTGTGATCTTTGTTGCATGTGGTACGACATTGTTAGCGAGCGTCTTGTTACACACCTGGGTTAGATTGTCTGACATTTGGTTTGTCACCTGTGCATTTGACTCAGCACTTGCATCGCTCTTGATACGTTTTGTTCATAAACATGATCTCATTGTGGTTCCAAAAAGCTACTTAGCTACGTGAACTTATTTGTTGACTGCGATTGACCTTCAATGGAACATATTGTTCTTCACGAATTACTCGTTATTACTCAGTGGAGCGAACCACCTTGGACCAGGTTGGAGGTGTATTTTAAAGATACTGGTCACAAGCCTTTTCCTTCCAACCAATAGGATAACGAGGACGATAGTGATGATGATGATGCTGATCAAAACGAAGAAATGTTGTCAGAATTGGGCGCGGAGGAGCTACATTCGAGTAGCTCTGATTCAGACCTTGATTTCGTGGCCATTCTGAAGAAGCAATCTGCAGCCCAAAGGAAAGAAGCTTTGTCAGTGAGCACACTCGATGAGTCGAAGCTGACACACACGACAGAGGCATCTAGCTCAGAAGAACAGAGCTTTTCCAGTTCTGATGTCAAGTTGCGACAGTTGAACTCACCAGGCGAACCGTCACCCTTCACCGAGAGTACTGAGGGCGAGGAAGACGAAGAATTAGATGACCTATTCGATTTTTCCGCCCTGAAAAAGAAAACTAAGGTGAGATGGTCCATCTTGTTGGTGCATATTCCCACCCCCACGCTTTTTTATTTCGAAGTTGAACAATTTATCGGATATTGAGACACAGGCAGTTCTGTATTGATCGTGTCCTGAGAGAGTGGGATTTGAGGCGCCACCGACCGCTCGTCAAATTTTCTCACCGCACACTGTCAGACCACATGATAGCCTATGGTAGCATGTACTGGTGATAAAGAGGTAGTAAACCAGTAGACCTGCGACTAAGGTAACTAAGAAGAGGCCGTGAGAGGATATTTTTTTTATCATAACGGGGACAGTCTTGTCATCCCTCATTAATCTCTTCAAGAGCGACAGTGCTGTCACATCTGTTTGTCTGGTGACGGAATTTATGACTTGAAACTACATGCTGCCGATCACGAAGCAGTCCACTTCACTCGGCTGCCTTGCTGTCATCCTTTGGCAGATATTTTATACTCTCAAAGTGGAAATGCAGTCTATACATCTTATCATTCAACTAGGGAAATGGGTGTTGTAGAACATATCTTGAATGCTACATTTGATCATTCGATGGTTGGGTTAATCGTAGTTGACGCACAAATTTGTGCCGACCTCCCCTGAAGACGCTGAGAGGTTCCATATTGGTGTCAGGTGCACTGTGAACTTCCATCCGTCCGAAACTAGGGCTTTGCTTCGCCAAATGCGAAATCCTCGTTTTGTTTTTCCTGAAGTTCTATCCCTGTATATTTTTTGCGAAAAGAATGTGTGTTAAAGGCCCGTCTTCGGACACCATATGTCATCCTTCCTGTTCTTGTCTTTCTCAATCTCCAGATCAGTTTGGTTCAACAGTCTGGTCACAAGCACGGTGTCTCGCATCCAAACGGTGATGGGACTGTGGTCCGACAACTCGAAGACCATGAAGGTATTTCTCCACGGCTATTTTGACCCCCCATTTCAAAGCCATCACCCAGTTCGTATGACTAAGTCATGCTCATCCGATCACACATCCTCTCTAACTTTATGTCCACTCGTTTCGTGATAATGTTCGTTCAGTCTCATTCTGTAAAAGACAGCTAAAGGGTTGGTATCGTCGTTTACTTTTCAGTATAGCCTCCCATACACTGGCTTACATCCCTCGGCACATAGGTTGTTGTCAAATCACAGGGCTGCGCAAGTAATTGTGCCTGATGTCGACCCGTGCAGACAGTAAGTAAGCGGAGTGACACGTCTGTGGGTCTTTTGACTTGGAAGCATAATTATTACAGCCTTGGATTAGAACTCAATCATTGCACAGAACCTCCCGTCCGATGATCTCGCTACGCAAAATCAAGGTGCTGAACTACCTATCGGACTAGGATACGTACATGCCTATTCTATGCGGTCGTTTTTTACATTGTAGTCCCTCCCCCTAGAAGATTTGCCTTTTTTTTAGAACAAGAAGAAACAGCATAGTCGAAATGCCTTTTACCGTGAAGTACGATTTTGCAACCGGCAACCGCGCACTACTGACGGGATTTTTTACTAGCTTCGCTGACAAGTTACCTTAGGATACTACATTAGAACGTCTCACGTTTGCGACACAGTTTGAATGATGCAACTGAAACTTCATCGTTCTTAATGAAAAAGCACGTGATGTGGTTCCTTAATAATTGGGGCAAGATGTCCCAAGTGGTTAGAGCGCGAATTTACTGACCGGGAGGTTCGTGTTTCGAACCCCTCTGCCTCTCGACTTTACCTGTCTAGGCTTGGGCAACCTGGCAGTATTGCAGTCCTCGTGCAACCTTCGGGTGGCATGGCAGCTAGGCACCGGAAGGGTGTTACAGCTGAACGTTTTTTCCTATTAATCACTCCTTCGAAGAGAAAGCACCTTCATCTTAGAGAAGTTTCGCCATCTTCATAAGGATTTCCTCAACGGATCGAGTATATATAGTCAAACCGTGGAGTTTTTCGTATCACCGTTACTGTGTGTGATCTTTGTTGCATGTGGTACGACATTGTTAGCGAGCGTCTTGTTACACACCTGGGTTAGATTGTCTGACATTTGGTTTGTCACCTGTGTCGGGCCGTGTGCAGATTGATATCCGACCGCACTCGAAACTTGCAAAATCGATAGGATATGGTATTGATGGTAACCACGCCGTCCTACACTACTAGTCTGATCCCGAGATAGCTCAGTGGTTAATTCACGAAATTACTAACCCGAAAGCACCTGGTTCGAACCCAATCCCGCATCTCGATTGGTCCTGTCTCGGGATTGACAACCTGGCAGTATCTCAGTCGTCGGTGACAGCTGGTCACCGAAAGGGTGTTACAGCTGAACGATTATTACTATTATTGGTCTAATACATTCCGTCCTCACCTTTTTAGTTCGTTTGCTTTAAATTGCTTGATCATGTGGTAACTAAACTCCACTTCTCATGGCAGTTTCGGATCAAGACGCTGCGGTACTGTTCACTGACGGTATCTCGTTCTTAATATCAATTGGAGAGCAGCGTTATGTAACCAAGAAAGTTCATGAGCTTTCGTAAACACCGCCATCAGCTTTAACTTTTTCGTAATGCTTATCCACAAGATATGTTCTGGCTTGTCCAACTATCGATTTGGAACCCAAAGTTGCTTTTTCACTATGGGAATCATGCGTTTGTCTTTTGCCCAACAGATACGAGTGCACAGTTCAGCGAAACTTCCAGTGCTACTGTACCTGTAGTCTGTGATTCTACCATATCTTCCGACCAAAACGCTCCCAGCTCCTATGCCCCGTCCCCAAGTGTTGCCCTAGACCCGAGTCTTTGTCCCGAACCAGCCAACCTGACCCCAACTCCTTTGCCCACAATGAATCCTGAACTGTTTGCTTCGAGTGTGATAGACACTCCGTGTGGAACAGTTATTGATCAGTCCCGTCATATCGGCGTTTTCAATCCTCTAAGCGTGAGTTATTTTGGCCGTTTTGGGTGGCAACTTTGTTCAGTGTGCATTGATATACATTTTCACAAGTTAACATGTTTTTTTTGTCCAGCTTCTGTCGGCCACCACCCCGGATTCCTTGCGGTGGATTGAAATCCAAAATCCACATCACCCGTGTTTTCGACTCACGTATCAATACAACCGAACTGTGTGGGAACATCTTCCCAACCTAGTCATTATCTGTCTTCGTCTGGCCAATCAAGATGAGCATGTGACATTACATGACATTCATTTGGACCTTCGAAGCACGGCAATCGGGCGCCTTCTGCTGGATGCACGACGAATTGAGCCGTTTGACAAAATAGGTAGGTCACTGACCAAATCTCTTGAGTCTACTCCAAAATGGGCAATAACCCTTGGGGGAAACATTGAGATCTTGAGATTTGGCCAAACATCGATCGGGTTGTTCGATGTGTTGATTCAGTGACATGCTTCCACTTGGCACATTCTTTACTCATCTGTTTTTAAGTGTATGGCTGAATTCAGTCGAATCTTTTCGACCTTAAACTTCCCTAATTTTAGGTGTTCATCTTTTTTAAGAAAAAAAACTGGTCGTATTATTTGTTTTGTTATCTTCAGAGGAGTTACCGCCGGGTGCGGAGCATGCATGCACTTGTGGGATCGATTTCGCCGGATTCACCGATCCAGTTGAACTTCACCTTGTTTATCATGCCATCCCGAACGGTCAGCTGATTCGGTGGCCTATATCCATCGCACCACCAGCTGGGGAGCTTTTGCGTTCATTCTCTCTGGATGAATCCAGTTTCTTTTTGAAAAAAGGTCGGTGATCGAGTTTTCAGGTCTCCCGTTTAGGTTTTTTTAAAGTGTCGTTTTGCATATGTGTTCGCTACTTGTAAAGGTTCTTTGGTGTCAATCCTGTGGAATCTTGATCGCGTTATTAGAGTAGAGTTCATTCCCGCAATACTCAGCCATAGATACGCGGAGTGACGAATAACTTTAATCTGACAGCTGATTGCATGCGTGTCCGAGAGTTTACACGCGTGTTTGTCCGTTCGTCAATCCATCAGAGAACGGTTGTATGATGCCTGTACGTGTGATCAGAGTCGTATACTTACCTTTACCAAGCGGACCTGCTTGGTCGGATGTACACCATACATCCATTTTCTTATCTGTGTGTTCTCTTGGTAACCTTGAACTTATAATACTGGTGACGGGGATGCAGATGTCGTTCACTGGGGCTGTTGCGTTGCTTACATATATTACTCTTTGTCCCTTTTTCACGAAACTTTGATGCGGGCAAGAAACCTTGTATGGGCAATCATGTCGAGGATTTTGCAGTTACTCACCTTGTTATTTTAAGTTACTGCTCCATACGTTCCTATAAACAGGGCTAAATTCGAGTGATGGAAGTTCCCATCAACGACATGGTTCAGAGTTCAGTTAGTAAATGCTCGCGTCAGCTTGATGGTCCACCATTACTGATTGCACTGAGTCATTCAGTATTAAATTTGCGCTTATCTATTGCATTGGCGACTGTTGTGTTGGTCGAAAGCATGAAAAATCCGTCTGCAGTGCTCTCATCGCCAATTTGGTTGTTGAAATTAATTTACGCTGTGTGTTCGTAATCGATCGTACGATGACGTTCCCATCCACTCAGTACGCCATCCTTTTTCCCCGTCAACCTAACAGACAACCTACTGGCGACAAAGTCACTGGATCAGTTTTGCGCCAAGTTGACCGGCTTGGGGACTACACCAGGTCACTTAACTCATTTGGCCCGAACCGTCTTATTATCAGCCAACGTGAGTTATTGCTTCTTCAAGCTGCACCGAGAGTTGTCCACTCCGTTCGCGTGTCGCACCCGCAGTGCTCCACCCGACCGCGCCACATCACAGATGTCCCAACTGATAACAGTATACTTTTCCGGGGAGACCATTTCCGACTCTCAGTGTTGTCTAATTGAAATGACAATTGAACTGGATGATTCTGTGACTGCCACACCATCACCCGGTAGCCTTAGTCAAACACTTCAATCAACACAACGCGAGGTTTTGGTCACGGTGCTGTGTTCGGATTCACGATTCCGATCTGCACTTTCAAACGCCCTTAATGAAGCGCTGAACGAGCCTCCGCCTGATCCGCTAGTCTTTGACTAACAGAACCCATCTAAATGTGATTGCCATATGGCTGTGTTTATCAACTTTTTGTCTTGTTCTCCACTTCCTTTCCCACTGTCCCGTCTTGAGTCTAGTCCCTCTCCATGTGGGCGCTGCTTGCTTTGCAGAATGCATTTGTATAACAAAAAAAGCAAGTGGCCCCCTGTGTTCGTCCCGTCTCGTCACAATTTTTTTTGCAAAGAAACATGCTTTGTGGTTATTGTTCTTCTCAATAAACGTCTGTCTTGATCTACGTTATTGTCCAAACGAGACACTGTGCAAATCAAGCTGTTCTTACTGGCTTTGTTCTCGAAAAGGCTCCTGCCGTAAGTTGCCTCTATCCGGAGCACACTATTTGCCAAAAAATGCACACAGTTCATTCACCATCGGTAGCAGATGAAAACAGTTGGGTGAACATGTATTTTTTATCGATTATTTCGTTTGACCGTTGAACTGGTGGTCTTCTGAGCTGTTGTCACACCGGATAGCTCGGGTTCGGGCATCAAATACCGCTTTCTTCGTAGAATCCCATAAATCGGAACCAGGTTCATGTGATGTTTTCCATGGCCTTGAAATCACTTTGCTGTCCATTTTCTTTAGACCTGTTTGGCCATACAGAAACCGGCGTAATTTCCCTCTTGAGCGAACTGGGCTGTTCGTCTGTTATCACGCGCACTTCAGCGCAGCGACTAGGACACACTCTCACCCGCTAGTTGTGTGTACCAGCGAAATGCACGTTTGGGGTTACTAACCGGACTGAATCAGCCATAGACACTTTTTTCCACGTAGTCCTGCCAGATAACCGATTCTAAACTTCAGCTATGGGTTTATGGTGACGCATGTCCCCAATAGGCTTGGTGGTCATCCTAAACCAAACCCTAGTGAGGCGAATCGAATCGTTGTTCTCCCGCGGACATCCTCCGCTGTTTAGAGACAGTGTGACATGACGACAACCAGTGGGTAGCCAGGCAACGAGGACGTTATAACTGCGTACACCAAAGATGTTTGTAATGATGCGTCAAAACCAGTAAGGCATACAAAAACTGGAGGACGAAGAGCTTTGGATTATGGCCACTGGGAAAGCTATACTCCAAATGCTTCACTGATGCTGACAGTGCTCCGCCCAGTTCGAGAGCAAATTGGTTTTTTGTAATGCTTCGAATGTTTCCTTGGAATGCTATCGATGGCTGCATCACAGAAGTTGAACGTTGAGTCTCGGCCTGTTGCCTGTTGGATAAGAATACCGCAATCACCTTAGAGACTCAAAATATCGACGACGATAAGCGTCCTGGAGGAAAATGCATCATTATCAATGAAGCCTCCATCCTAAGGTCAAGCGTCCAGCGGAAAGATTGCTAGAAGAAGACGGCTTCTGTCATAGCAGTTTGGCGAATAAGGACAGGAAATGCGGTTTCGAACAGCCTTCCGGTTGGAAACTATCTGCCTACAGATGACACTAGATGCGTATTTCGGAGACTATGTCCACTCGGAATGAAAGGTAAAATATCTTGCTTGGCCTAAACCCTGAGGGCCACGTTTGAACAAAAACAATGGTTGAGGAATTGCAGGTAATAATTAGTGCAGGTGAGGCACAGTCATGGATATTAGAGTAATGCAGAGTGCTCCGAGGATACAATAGAAAACAGTTTTGTCACTCCTAGTCAACTGGCAGGTGGTAGGGGTAGATACTTTGTATCAGAAGACCGCAGTCGTATTTGTGACAAAGTGGACGGCGGGGGGTGAATAGTGTCAGAATCTTCGCCTCAGAGTATGTCTCTGGCTCGCGCGCAACGTGCTAGGTGAATTCGGAAGGATGCTTAGTGTCTCGGTGGAACAGAGGGCGGGGAAGTTTGGATGGTTGTCTACTTCGTATTGTTGAACTACTCGTAGCCAGGTACCCACATCTCCATCTAAAGAAGGCAGTTTTAGTGATCATACAAATCTGACGCACCACTGACCATCAGTTCCATCTACGGGACCCCTATTCTTCCTGAAACCCGGTCTCAGACCAACCTCAAAACCTGGCGCCACACAAATAGCCTCACCCAGGGCAATGTCATTTCTCTTGCGATAAATTGGAGGTGCACAGATAGTTAGGGTCGCGAGAAGTCATTCAAGTACAAGCTACTCGGATCGGAATTAATACTCCAGCGAAGCGATTCTAGCTGGGTTATAAACAGATTACTTTTGAACGCTGAGGACAGGTTTGATCTGACTCACTTCAAAACTGTGCGAAAAGGCAATCACTTCCATCTATTATTCAACGGAGGAAAGTCCACCCAGGTGTATCAGCATCCAAAACCCGGAAGGGAAATCCTTTTGATGGCCTAAGATGGTTCTAACCAAGGGTACAACCTGAATCGGATTTAACCCATCCGAGAGCATGCTTATGTGTTGTAGGCTTTCAGTAATGGGTTAGTAATCGAGATGATTACATCTACTTGGAGACAAATCGCTCAATACAGATATCCCAACATTCGTGCCGTTACTCTTGGCCGCAAACGATACTGAGGCAGATATAGCGTACCCTGGTTGCCTGAATATGCCAGCAATGGAATTCACATGGAATGTTTTCCGGAAGCTAAAAGTTTGAAGCCTTCTCTCGGCGAATCTTCCGAAAAGTTTATTTTCCCCATTCAAATCGTTCATCCGCTGCTCATGTTAGTTCTATGTTAGATGAGGAAAATTCTGAGGACGAATTGAACGCAGCGTCGATAGGCCTGTTTTTATCTGGGCGGGTTTTGAAAGGAAGATTTCTGCACCACATGCGAAGCTCTGGTGAAAGTTGCATTCTTCCCGGAAGACGGAAACTGCAAAACATGTACCCTGAGCCGACTTGTAAACCATTCATGATAGCCATAGATGATGGCCAGTTAGCGCAAGCAGACAAAGCGGCAGTAGTGAAACCGATGCTTCATGTAAGAGCTGGACAGGTTTAACAAAATAGCCGGCTAGTGTGTTCCACGTCTGTATTCTGCTGTCTGGATCAGACAGCCAAAGGGAATTAATCGGCCATTTATTCTTCACTGGAAACTGTTATAGTTTGTAAGTTTCAGCGCGATTTGTAGTGGGTGCTCACTTACAGATGGTGAGCATCCACCATGTGCTTTTCAACAAAATATCATTCGAGCAAAATATACTCATTAGCGAACCAATTAGGTTTTGACGGGAGACTCACCCAGAACCTAACTGAATCTCTCGTTATGATGTTTGAAACTGTTATAGTTTGTAAGTTTCAGCGCGATTTGTAGTGGGTGCTCACTTACAGATGGTGAGCATCCACCATGTGCTTTTCAACAAAATATCATTCGAGCAAAATATACTCATTAGCGAACCAATTAGGTTTTGACGGGAGACTCACCCAGAACCTAACTGAATCTCTCGTTTATGATGTTTCCAAGCAACCCAATGTGCCTCATGTTTCAGTTGGTACGATACTCAAAATGTGATACATGTAGACGTAATCCACTAATCATAAGGTTTCTGCCGAAGGTTTTTTTAGCAACATCGTGGGTATTCTCCATAGAAATATTATTTTTTGGACAAGTGAATGAACCTCATTCTTATGGGCCGAAAAAATGAGTATCATATAAGATCAGTCTGTATGCAATAACTTCAAGCAGGCTTTGGAGTATGGAGCCCTCGTGGTCAAAAGGTTGCGTACAAATAAGGATGAGATTAATATTCAGCTATAATTTGTGTAGCCACTGTAGTTAAAGGGGTACAGGAACTACGAAAATGCACACTTTAATACTGTTTGATCTTGAAACGTATGTGATTTTGGGATAAGTAAAAGACAAATGCAAGGACACCCATTTTGGTGAAGTTTGGCTAGAGGGAAAGGACACACATTATTCGATCCAAAGTAGACATTTTTCAACATACATAATTTTAGACTCTACTATGCGTAGACCTTCCCCTATCTGGTCGCCAGCTCAGCTTGTTGATTCAACGGAATGTCAGACTGGTACATCTTTTGGTTTGATCCAACCCAGGGCTCACAAAGAATAAGGCGAAACGCAATGAAATATTTCTACTTTTAATCGTGTATGTGGAAAAACGAAGTAAGTCGGTGAAACTGCAGTAGTAATCTCGCCGGGATCATAAAGCCACCACAAAATATGTTGCGTTTGCTGATCTGAACGAATTGCGTCCTGTCGAGATTGAATTTTCTGAAATCCGAGGATACGATTTTAGACGTTTTGTTAATGAAATTTTCCCCACTCGATGTGGGCGTTGAAAAGGAATCCAGCGTACGTGGACCTGGGTATCAGGTTAGTTAGACATCGGCCGATGCAAATGCTATGCAATTGGCTATTTATCTTTTCCCAGAGATAAATAACTGCACGTATGAATCGCGAAGGTTCCTTTGTCTCACTTGTTACACCGGTAATGGCCATGTCGAGAGGTAGCTCTCTCAAGTACTTCCCGGGTGGGCCAATGCGCGAATTCCAAATGGCAGTGTTAGCAACAAAGGTTTGCCTCAATATTTTCCAACGGCTGATGAAATGAAGAGTTGAACCAATTTCCAGTCAGCAAAAAACAGGGGTGATAGTAAATTATGGATTGGGTGGGTACCTTAATGGAACCGCATGACACGAGCCTCCACGGAATTGAAAAATCCAATAACTTGGGACGGGAAGTATGTGCAAAAGGGTACCCGTGCGGTGAAATGCGTTTTCTGTCCATTCGAAAATCCTGGTTGCGTCAAGGGACGGGACGCTATGCTTTTGGTTTATTGTCTAAGTATAATTTACTAACCAACACTATTCGGTCATTCGGATTCACTGTTGTGTCCAATATTGCGCAACACTAGTAGAAGTTAAAGTGTGTTTTCGCAAGAATGCTTTAACGCCGTGCGAATTTGCTTTGGCCAGTTCTGACATCCAAAATGAAATCCGGCCTTAGCGCACAGTGTGAGTGCCGGGGATTCTGGTAGAAGATACTGTGGGTCACCCCACGGAGGCAGTGAGCACCGCCGCCTGCACAAGCACAGAGGACAGGCTTACTGTTTAGTAGGCCAAAGTCTCGTTTGTTATCGGAATTGACCAGAGAAATCGCCCCACCAACCATTGAATCAAGCAAGAGCTATAAATCTGTTACTTCTTACAGTTTTCATCATATCAAATTGCTCAGTAGTTTTAATCCCGAAAGAATTCGGTTTCTGTGTGGCGCAGACCACCATTCTTAACCAAACAGTCCGACAAAAAGCATTGTTGGCACCTCGAGACACGGGATTATGAAGCTAACTGCAGGAAAGATATTGAACAAAACCGTCACAACTTTTGCGCCACCTTAAATTTCGGTACATCAGAAAGGCCTAGTGTTCCTGGAGGATGATTTCGTGTGGCTCCGATAGCAGTGCTACCCAAAATATGCAATTTTATGAGAAACTGTCTTCGGGAATGACATGGCGCAATATGAAATTTCTTCAATTCATCGATCCTCACAAAGGTGATGAATCTTCGGGAGTCAATGAAAATAACACCTGGAGTTGTTGGAACTCTGTTGTACAAGGCTGAAGCTAGCGAGTTAATCTGGATGTACCACGTTCGTTCAGCACTCATCCGATGATGTCACTTAGCGTATTGTCCCCACTGGTATTTCGAGCAAGGCGACCTATCTAAGGCCTATACATCTATGCGCCTGTAGCACTTGTGAACTGCTCTTTTTCATGCTCAATATCATCTTTTTTCCCATCATTATCAGCCACATCGCTGTACAAAAGTTTGTTTTACTGAAATACAACCGTTACCGCCCGCTCGCTGGCACCAACGTGACTTTGAGACTTTTGCTGAGTGACTGTTGTTGTGACCGCCGGTTGGCTGTATTTGACCGCTGCTAACACTGAACGTGAACAAACATTTCAGCTACAAACACTGGACTAATATATTCACGCTTGTGGAATAATATTTCGATCACCGGAGATCTGGGATACCAGGAAGATAGAACTATTCTTGGTGTGGTGGTTCAACGGAATACGGAAATACGGAATCTTTTATTTTGATCTGTGACTCAAGATTTACTTGTATTTTTCTCTTTGTGACTTTGTATCTGGCTTACATCAGTGATTTGTTCAGTTCACTAGAGACTCCATAGGGCCGTTAACCACTACACACCTATCTAAAGCGCATAACGTCTGACAATACCACTCAGACTTGTGACATTTTGCATGAATAATCTTTTCTGATTTCCACTTGCCTGCACAGATTGGTCTTCTTTCTAGCTATATGTTCATTTAATAACTGCAAAACTGAAACTTATTTGTTGTATATGAATTAGTGCGCCCAACTTGTGCTATCCCACTTACAAACGTCCAATTCCTTAATCATGCAGTTTTGAGTAGACTCCCTTGCCCCTCGTATTGGACTATTTTGCAAATTGATTTTGGGGCACCGCTACCCTTAACCGCTAAGTGAGAGTAATTGCCACCAGAATCCCATCGTCGTGAAAATGCTTCCACTCAGCTGATAGTTCCGCAGCAAACCACCCCACACCTTCTTTGAAAACGTAGGTAGTATTCCCTTCTTATACGACAGAAAATGGAAGGCTTCGAGAATTCACACTCAGCCCTAAGCCACTGAAAACCTACATTAACCTAAATTGTCCCGTGTATCGGGACAACCAAGACACAAGTAGGTCGAGGTGTGGCGTTTTGTACCTTTATTTTACTTCCATTATAACGCTAGGTATTTCATCAATTGCATAATCGTTTTTCGTTTGAATACGAAAAACTCCAAAAAACGCGCCCTTGTACAATTTCACATAATACAAGCGTGGTCACGTGCTTCAACTCTCTCTTCTGATTTCGCTTGCGCTTGCAGCGGTCATTCGCGAGTCTCACGTACTAACTCTGGTACCCAAAACTTTTCA